ACACACACACACAAACACACATACACACACACACACACACACAAACTAATACAGATCGTACATTCTCAAGCCGCCCATCCACTCCCTTTCATTTTCCAAACCATAATACTTGTTTTCCCTCAGAGCCGAGTAAACAGCAAACCTCAGACAAGCAGCCAACAAGACCCTGACGCAAAGGGCGGGAACTCAATGAAGCAGTTTTTTGGGGCGCTATGATTGATGACTCCTACACCCTTGGGGTGCTTCCACGGGGCAGGTTCGAGACAGGTCGGAGGCCGGATAGGAGAAGTGTAGGGTAAAATGACCACTGGTCATTGAGACAAGACTCACATCTTTTATCATACAAGGACATATCTGGAGGCGAATACGTCCTCTTTCTTAGACATAGGAGACTCGCTGTCAAGAGTTATAAATTCATTATGTTTGCAAACTATCAATTGCAGCAGGTGGCTTTAGTCTCGTTTTACACAAACGTAAACTATTCATAAAAACCAAGGCATCTTTGTTCCTCATCCTATCGTCCTTCGACAATTGCCAGAAAACACAACCTCTCCTGTTTATCTGACTTGCACAGTTTTTTTTAAAATCTCAGGTAAAAATAGAGAGTGGTTTTCTTTGGTTCCCGCTTGCTTGCGATGAAAAAAAAACCGACGTCCAAAACAAAATATACCATATTGTCATTCTCACGTTACTTTAAACAGTTGATTAGAATTTGTATTGCTTGCTCTTCCCTAAGACTTTTTATTGTCTTTTTGGATGTTGCTTTAAAACCTAATTAACAACTTTGATTAACAAAAAAATATATACAAAATAATTACATGATACTAATAAGTGGCATCAAACGTGCCTCCAGTCCTGAACAGAACTTAGCTGCCAAAAAAACCCAAACCCAATCGTTTAGCCGTAACCGCTCACAAAGCAAAACGGCACAGGAAGACGAGTCCTTACGTCAAATTCGTTTAGACGGAAACGACGGTATTAAGCAAAACAATGGTATAAGTTTCAGTATTTGACAAGATAAAGGTACCAGGCTATGCCATAACATACCTTATCCTTGTGGGACCGATTGCATAGACGAACTGGGCTAAATCCATAGAGTTGTATTACAATATCCTAGACCATGAACTCCGTTCACTATGAAGCATATCATTTGACTCAAATTTGAACCTGATAGATGACAGGGGGGAGGGGGTTGAGAGACAATGGCGAGATATGATTTTTGCTCAACATTTGGGCATAATTGTACAGTCCATGGTGCGAATAATTTGCAAAATAGTTTTAAAGGGAACGACAGGCAGCGACCATGACAGTGCTGCCCTTCACACCATAACACTGTTTGCTTTATTTTGTTTGTTTAGTAAGAGTTTTACAGCACTTGCAACACAACTAGGTAATATAATTGCCGAAGATTAGATGTCTTACAAGAGAGTAACAAACACAAACAAGAGGAGGAGAGAGAAGGACGACAGATGTATGAAAGGAAAAATGAACCAAACCGCACCATGCATCCGCCAATCACCCACTTACTTTATTTAACTAGATGAAATTCCCATGCTATGCCATATTGTAATTTACATCATTAAATGTGATTTAAAACGAATGTCTGAGACGATGCCATATCACAACTGACATTGATTTATCACATTAAAGTGCCACACGATACCCAAACATACCTTACGATGTTTGCTGTGATTTCTTGGAATACTTCCGCTTTCGTCTTCACTCGTTTTTGCTTGGTAATTCTCTGTGGGGAGGAATTTGATACGCTTTAATCAAATTAGGATGCTTTTTGTCATTTCACGAAATTATTAATACTTTATTCAAACATTTCATTTATATTGACGTTGAAAAATATGTGTAACTAGATAATGTATATTACAGAAGAAAAACAATTAAAGTAAAAAAAAAAAACTTTACAGGGTTAAACTATTATGTGGGCGCAGGTGATCGCAACATGCGTATATCCATCTTTTGCTTGCTCTTATTTAACCGTGTCGGGCATTTTTATGGTCCTTGAAATACTGGTATGGTGGTTTCATCATGATAATGTATACATCGGAGACTTTCATATATCTCATCTTTGTGAAGAATAGGCAATGGCTTGATGAACACCACTTTGTTGAGTTGGAATAACGCTGGAATCCCCAACAACAACAACAACAACTCTCATCTTTGTGAAGAATAGGCAATGGCTTGATGAACACCACTTTGTTGAGTTGGAATAACGCTGGAATCCCCAGAATGCCAATCAAGAGCTTTTGAATATATTAGTAAGTTGTTACGGCACTCTACCCACCATGGAGACCCGTCTTACAGGCCATGGCCCATGGAACTCAAGGTCCCTCTCCTTCAGCAGCCTGACTGTGTTGGCATTGTTTTAAAACTTCACTAACTAAGAACTACAACGTTCTATCTGATATTTTTGGTCGTTTCGAGTTACTAAGACCATGGGGCCAGAAACCATATGTTCTATTTTCTCTATCAAAATCGTAAGATTATTCAGAGCCGTTTTCAGGATATTCAAAGAATGGCATTCATAAAAGCTTTTCATGTTGTGATACTCATTTTTTTTTTTACGTCAAATTTCTCAAAAATAGGCACTGAGCAGATAAAACTTCCGAATAGCTTCTTCTTTACTTCGAGCTAAGTTAAGAAGAGCTCGGTGGCGGTCGGGATAAAGTAAGGCAAGGCAAGCACTGGAG